TGCTGAACCTCCTTCCAAAGATGTCAGATTTGCATCACACAGGAAAAAAACATCAAAGTACAGGACAGACATTATACATACATAGAACAGTGCTGGCAAAAATGAAGTGTCCCTGCAAAAGTAGAAAACTATGCTCAGATTAGTTCTTCTTTCCCCACAGGACATGAACGAGCAAATTATTTTTAACTAGTTTGTATACATAAACTAGTTGTCAATTTGTTTTTGCAAAGTATTTGTCTAAAACACAAACCAAATTACATTAAACCAGATAAATGGTAAACGAACAATGTGTGGACAGCCATGAAAGGCTTTGAATGCCGTGCATGAGAAGCACACCTAGCATCAAGGATATCATGCCTTGACTTGCATGGACTTTATATACTCTCCAAAGGAAGCCTTACTCCACAGTGTAACTCTTTTCAACCCTGTTGAAAGTGGAAAACTGGGTTCCAAGCTGCCCACCCTCAGTGGGCTCGAGCTGAACCTCCCAGAATCTTCCAAAAGTGAACTTGTGCTCTTCCAAATTTCAGCTACAGGAGTATCCTGATCACTGACTAGCGAATAGGAGCCCATGACTAGAATAAGCAGACGCATAGAGAAGTTTTGCATGAGACGTGAACATAACCTGAAAATCTCTCTCCTCTCATCCCAAACAGATTAATCAGTCCTCTCCCCTCACCTTGTTTCAGTGGAAATAACCAACAAACCCTTAGATGTGAGGCTCAGAGAACCAAGAAATACAAGTCTGAAAGAGATTTAGATACTCTGATGATACTTAGATGCTTCAGACCCAAGGAAGTATCAGCTACATCCACATCACTCCCAGCAGGCAACGGCTTGTTAGGGAATTGCTGTAATACTGGCTTGCTCATCTTCCCAAACCAAGTTATACCAGTGAAGATGAGTAGAATTTTTTAGTGGTAAGGAAGGTAATGTCCAATCTGTAAATTACTACTTCTGTAATTTAAACCTACTGCTTCCTACTCTACCCATCCATCTGTGAAAGACGGACTATGCTTTTTTCTTCTGCAAGAGATTAAATGCTTCAAGATCATACACACGGTCATTTCCTCTCCTTTTTAAGCAACCCCAAATATTTCCAACTGTCCTCAGAGATCTAACTGTTTGTGCTGCTCTTCGCTCTTCCCCAGGTAACTTCCACTGGTCAAGCGCTATACCCTATGTAGGTCTTCCTGGTCGTAAGCAGAAAGGAAGAGACACTTTGCATGAGTACAGGCAGTAATTCTTCCTACTTCTCGGGAAGGCACACTTCTTTCTCAGCAGTGTGATAAAGCGGACTTAGTCAACCTGCCATCCCCATAAAACCCAGATCATCCTGCAGCACTGCTAGTTGCTCTCCTCCTGGGCACTACAAAGTAAGAGGCTGCTGGTGCCAGCAGAGCAGGGTCCTGCTCTCCATCTCTACACCCAGCCATATGACTTCACTCCTCCTTTTCCTCTTGGGATTGCAAAGTGAGACAACGCAGCTTGCCATGTTGCCAAACTTGCGAGTCCAGATAATCCAAGCAGTACTGAGCTCTTCGATTCATCTTCTATGTATTACACCCCTAATACTTCACTCTGTGCAGCCTTTGATTATGGGGGGGGAAAAAAAAAGCTAACACTTGCTATAAGCATACCTCCTTTACTAACAAACCTGCCCAGAACATTCCATCTAAGCCTCAGCTTGCCTATGATACAAATCTGCTTCTACCGGGGCGGGTGGTAGAGTGGATGGAGAGAACTATAACCCCTATAGCCCTTACCCTAGGAAGAGAGAAAAATGCATTATTATCAAGTAGTACACATTCCAGATAGCCAGTTTTTACTATGAAAACTCTTTGTCTGTGAAAATACTTTTGGTACCCTGACTAGTACTTACAAGCTGCTCAGGGATTCCTCCTTCAAGGAGGCACATGCTCCTCTTAAGATTAACACTAACGTTTTCTTTCTTGAAACCTTTCAAAAGCTTTTCTAGAGAGCCAAAACTATAAAATATTAAACCTGAAAGTCAATTTATCCGTACTATCTTCCTGCTTGGTTTCTGATTATTTTTGAGCAAACAGAAATAAATTTTGCTTGTAATGTAACTCTGTAACTACAGAGCGCATCTGTGCCTAAGTGACTGCGTGTGAATGTGAGCATGTGCATGAAGCAGCATATGCCAGTTGTACAAAATAGTATCACATGCTGCTCCTGGAGATGATTTTCTAACTGTAGTATTTTTAGGTTGGGAGATAAATGAATGAGGAACAAAAGGTGATACTGGGCCTTCTAATGGAACAGTAAAACGGAAATGAGCTCAATACACAGCCCAATGATTAGAGCAATTCTGTAATGGAGACATCTATGAAAGCACTAAATAGAGTGCATACAGGCACTGCTATAAACAGTTGTAACTTTTATCGTTTATATGTTCACAGAGCACACCTGATCACTGTGTTCAAAAAAGGAAGTACTAAGTCCCTGCAAACAACATGCTCTGAACAGTAGCAGATGAAACCAGTATTTTGTCTAACAAGTCTAAAAAATGTCTTTGTGTAGGAAAAAAATGTGCCCAATATCTTGCATAGTGTTACAAGAAGATTAATACTAATCATTCCCAATGTAAGTACTGAGGAATTAAAAAAAAAAAAAATCTAACTTGTCTCCAACATCTTGATTCTGTAGATAAGAAAAGAAAATCCAGAGTAATAAAGAGGTTAAATAACATAACCAAATCAGAATACACCACAAGCCTACATATTCTGGTATGGCAACATTTCAAAAAAGCAACAAATCTCAATTCCCTCTATAGTAGACATATGTCAAAACAACTCTTTTCATTTCCTTCAGACTGTGATTTCAGTATATCCGTTGTCAAAAGCCATTACACCACTTATTTCAGAATACTGAAAATATTCAGTACTTCCTAAAAATGGTACTACAATATGTTATGACATATGAGGTGTTTTTTCTTGATGCTTTTTCCTTTTCTCCAGTATCTGACAGAAGGTAAAGGGTAGCTAAATGAATTCCCATTTCATTTTTTCCAGACAGTTGTTTTTAGAACTTTTCAATATATCAAAATGCTTTTTCCAATTCACCACACATGAAATGCAAGTTCCACCTCATTGTATTTCATCATTCATATTCCACAATCCTGAAGGCACATGACTGACCACAAAATTATACTTTAAGATGCACAGTGTATTCAACAACCAGAAACATGGGAAAAGTGACCTGTAGTGTGACTTATACTGGGGAAAAAAAAATAAAAAGGAAGAAAGTGTTTTTCCTGCACATCTGCTAGTGTTCTCTGTACTTCCCAAGAAAATAGTGTAACTACACATACAGTAGGATTTTTATAAGAGTACTTCAAAATCATTTAAAACTCATATTACTATTAAAAAACTCCCAGAAAATCTGAAATCTCCAGGTTAGCCCTGGTCTTTAACCTCAATTTTGTTGTAAGTGCCATTTTTAGGCACAAGAATTGCAAAATATTTTCTGAAAGTAACACCAGCATAAACCGTGTAGTAACACCTGCTTCCACCTGCAGAGGGTACAACAACATAACCACACAATGCTCTACTGACATGAATTATCTAAAAACCGGAGTCAAAAATCAATGTTCAGAAGTATTCACATCACAACCCAGCTGTTACAATGGTACTTTATATACTTCCCAGTTGACCGAAGGATGACAAACTTGTCTCAAGTTTCCATCTATTGAAGGGAGGGGAAGTGCTTTCAGGAATAAACATTTTTTACAACTGACAGGCCAGATACTATTATAGTATGGACCAAACCAATCTCTCTGTTAGTAGAAGTAATTTCACACAATCTAATTTATTTCCAACAAATTTCTGGGACCAAGAAAACCCACTCACTGTTTCCTGTGTCATTGCACAACCCCAGTGTTACATTCACAGCAACTTGTACAATATATTAAAAGTCTCAATTCAGAAGTTTATGCCATGTTAAAAATTTAAGACACTATACCACCAGATGAAAAAAACCACACAGTCTTAAAAGACAGCATTTATTCCCAGTCATAATACTTCTATTTTTAAAGATACATCTAAACGATATAGAATTACAAGTCAGTGATTTAGATGTGTCACAAAGCTAGGATTCCTACATAAGAATAAACATCTAAGGTTGCCATGGGACATACAAATTTATCAGCAACAAAAAAAACCCCAAATAAAAAAACTGAACAGTACTGCACAACTAAGTTTCCTGACAAAAATACCTTAGAATACAGGACTGTTTACCCTTTCATACCCCACTGCACTGTCCAGTCTTGAAAATAATGAAACATTTACTGTTTTTTCTAGGGCAATTTTTTCCACATTGATAGGAAAACTTGTTTTCCTATCTCACTAATTTATGTGATCTAAACAAGCTACTTAATCCTAGAAACATCATTTTGATACTCAGGAAGAAACCCTTTATCTAGGTTTGTAAGGACACAATAAAAAACATATAAGCACGAACAAAAAGAAAAAAAAAAACAAACCAAAAAATACCCCAACAAACCCATGCCTCAAAATCAGGAAAATCTTGAAAACCAGGACATTCTAATAGTGAAAGGATAAAAACTAGAACCAAACAACAGCTATTATGCAAATAACAAGGAACAGCCCTACACTGGCATGAAAGTCCTAGTTTTGGAGATTCTAATGTCACTTCTAAAAAACAATGCCATTTAGTTCTTACAGGAGAAGACAGAAAAAAATCATGAACTGCATTAAACACAATTTTAAGGCTGGGAGAATTTGAAACAAAACTGACCACCTAGACAGTCAAAGCATTTCTCAAATGTTCTAACAAGAGTCACAATTTAGCAGTTTACGTAATCAGTCTCAGCCTTGGCACAGAACATCTCTCACAGGAATAATAAAACCCAGTGTTCACCAATGCTCAGTCTACCCAAGCACCTTTTACTTCCTATCACCTTTCATTGCTTTGTGGCTGAAGTGCTATTTGTATTCCTCAAGAATTGGGTAGAAATTGTTTTTGCTAGCATACACTGTTACTTTTTTAGGTGTGTGTTTTTCCCGAGTTGTTTAGGAAGACAATAAAAGTATTAACAGCTGTGCAGACAGAGATCTTGTGGAACTCAAGGTTGTACAGAATTATTACTGAAATGCATGAACAGAAAACAAAACCTTACAAAAAGTTATAGTCAAGTAGCAGTCAACATACAGAGCATCCTGGCCCTTTGCTGTTCATCATCTTGTAGATTATCAATGTATATCAATTGAAACAATTATGCTGTTAATGGCTGTGGATTAAGGAATTTTGTTCCATCATTGCCTTATGTTCTTGTCTAGAATGGATAATAAAAATATTTTTTCTACTTTTGGCGGCTCAATGCTACTGTAGGCTTTGCCAAACCATTAAGATGGAATCACAACTAATAAGGAAAATTGGAAGATCGGCTTGACATGCTCAATATGGCTGGCAAAATGCTTTTCTCATTTCAAGAAGCAGTGAATGTGACTGCCAGGACAGTGAGCAATATAACATTATGAATGCAGTTCAAAATTAAAAGTAAACAGTCTGAAATCTTCTGGTCATATAGAAGATATCACCATCCAAGAAAATTTTATTACCATAAAATTGTGGGTTTGTGGGTTGTTGTTTTTTTTTTTAATTTTCTGCTTTGTAATACAAGAAAATATACAGGCAATTACACAATTGGTATCTGTCCACATTATTAAGCTAAATGGTTTACCATTCGGGGGGCACCATACTTCCATCAACTTCCCAAAACGTATTTTTGCCATTCATTTCGTTAGTATAGATTACCCATCTGTGTCGACCTTAAAACAAACAGAAATACTGTATTAGCTCAAAAAAAAAAAAAATCATATAAAGAACAGAATTAATGAGAACACAAGGAAAAGTATTTTGACAAAAAGTATCTACCATTATGGGCACTTATTTCAAAGTCAGTACAGCTTTTATTTTTCTAAGTCTTCTGTATTTCCACTGTTACTGTATTTTTATATAGCTGAATCTAACATGCTCACAAGGAAGTGAGTATTAGTATTGTATAAGTAATGCAGAAATAGGACCTTAAAAAATTTTCAGACAGAGAAATAGGTTTGGGGACTTAGTAACCTAAGATTAAACTAAGTTTCAGCCATATAAAACTACCAAGCAACGTTTACCAGCAACCGCTATCCCCCAGGTACCCTACGAGTCAACCTATAGTAGGCAGAGCTTGGCCTAACCAGGGTGTCAACTGCTTACAGGTCACTTTTGTTGTTTTAGGTGCTACCTTTTTACTCTACAAATCTCTACTCTACAAAACTCTACAAATTTTTTTTTAAATCCTATTACTTAAAGTAATAGGAAGTTTAAGCCAACCTGTGTTTCTTTGCCCTGAAGTGACCATATAAGTAGTGTTGTGAAGCAGTTTTGAAGGCAGTTCTTTTTCTTACCCCACCCGATAAGCTATCAGCTTTTGGGTCAAGGACCAAATTCAGCTCTCAATCACATTCTCATACAGGCATATCTACATGGAGAGCATCTGACTGCCTTATATTTATCCCATATTTATTATTTCAGATTGGCTATGTTTGCAAATTAATTGAGGGAAGCAGTAGAGAAACAGAAGATGTCAAAGCATTTCTATGAGACCCCACTCTAAGACTCACACAAGCCAAGTGCGAGGAAGTCAGACAGGCAACAAGTTCTATTTCACTAGCAGAAACTATACAAGCTATACAACGTTGGACAGTCAGTCAGGAGGTGTTCACATTAGCACACATACCAAAGAAGTTTCTTTTGTCTTCATAGTATTTGTTTCCATATTTGTCAATTCCTATCAGCGTACCAGTCTTCAAATCATTGACTCTGTGAATTCCCAAAACAACAGTTTCAATTGACATCATCTTAGAATGAAGTTATGATAGAGGTTTCTTAGGGGCTGGTAAAAATCTGTAATGAAAACTCTTAAACACATATATGTAAAGCTATTTAAAAAAAATATTCAAGCTTAAGGACTGCAAAACATAATCACCAATTCCTGCAACTAATGTCAGCGTGCCTTTAGCACACACCCCACGTGCAGGCTAATAAAAGTCATACAAAAATGTTTTGGGGGGCTATTTTTTACGTAAAAGGTCTTTATAGTGAAAGACAAAGCAACTCTGCAATGTAGCACCATTTAACACCCACAAAACCTTAAGTACTGTGGAAGTCCCAGAGACACATGTTAATTCACTTAGTTGAAGATGTTACCATCCTTCTCAACTATTTGTTCCTACCATTTCAACTTGAGTTGCCATGGAAAGTGGTCAGCACTGAAGCAGCTTAAAATGTGGCTTAAGATGCCCATATATGTGGGCACTAATTTCCAGGAAAGGAATAATAATACTTTAAGCCATTGTAGCTGCTTGCCAAGGAAATGCATGCTAAACCCTAAATTACTATTATTACTTTCTAGTTTTTGTATAACTGTGAAAGATGCAAGCATTTACCCTACCACTCTTATAGTAACCCAGGTAAGGTATATACCAGTTTCAATTCTTTATACAGAACACATTTTAACATTATTGTACATAAAAATAGTTAAACGGAACGTATGATCTACATTCTATTGATAAAACCTTAAAATTACTGAAGTGCTCTTTACCCCTTAGATCTTCATCTTTGCTTTCCTTTTTACTGGCATTTATCCCAGGCAGAATTACAGAAGGAAAAGTTTACTCTCAAAGGTTTTAGTTGTTTGTAGTATTATACGCATACTCAACTCAGTCCCAGGTGACAGAAGGGATGTGCATATGTAGGCTTCCTTAGTTGGGAGTTTAACTATAAAGTTTTTTTTGTTGTCTTTTCTCCCAGGGTGCATGAAAGCGATAATCACAGCACCAAGTACTCATTTTTAAACCTCTGTGGTCCCAGGCAGAAAGATTCTCTGACACAAGTCTCATCTGTCAACGAAACACTCAAAGATCTCTGGCTCAGCTATCCAAGCCCGAGCTCCCAGCTTCAGAAAAAGAAGAGCCATTTCACTGCTGCTCTCCCTTCCTTCTTTCCCTCTTTTCCTACCTTTCTTGTAAGGGTTCTAATGCCCTTGTCCCGATTTCATGCCCCGAATACCAATTTGAAACACTTAAGAGATATTTATGGCTTCCAGAGGAGATTTTCCAGCCAATTTCACCAAGTCTTGAGCAAGAATAATGTTTCCAGGTGCATAGGCTCTTAATAATTTGAATTCTACTGCACAATTCTACTGTTCCAGCCACCTTAGTGGGAAACAAAGAGAGAAAAGCAGGGAAATTCAGAAAAAAACCCTTCCAGAGAAAGAGTTGCCTGACTTGGGTAAATCGTTTTTCCAAGTTACTGAACTGATGTTCTTAAACACATCAGTTGTTGCAAGAAAGATACATCTTGATTACTCTTCCTGTAAGCGCCAAGTCTATTCCTTGAGCTGGGATGGAAGATTCAGTGGCTTGAAAGGTGAAGGGGAGGCAGCAGCTATGTTTGTGGTTGGTATGGTTATGAGGATCATGTGTGATTCTCCACCTAGCACACTTCTAACTTCAGTCTTCTGAAAGAAAAAAAAAAAAAGAGAGTACTGCCGCCGGTCTTGCCAGCTCCCTTTTTCTACGTGGTAGAAAGGTGTCTTCTAACTTCAGTCTTCTGAAAGAAAAAAAAAGAGAGAGTACTGCCGCCGGTCTTGCCAGTTCCCTTTTTCTACATGGTAGAAAGGTGTCAACACAGTCTGTGATCTTTGACTCACAAAAGCTACCTGAGAAGACATTCATTAAGATGTGCTTTGGAAGAGGCACTCTGGTGAAACCTAATACTTACACTCTTCTACACTTTCATTTCCCCAGCCTCATTTCTTCTTGAGAACTGCCACTGTAATAGCTACAGCCTGAGGA